AAATAGCAACACTAAAATAAATTTAAAAGTACTCTCAAATAAATCCTTGGTTTAGGGATTAACTCAAAGCCGCAATCACAGTGTGTTTAGAAATAAACTCAATTGTGTGAAATAAGGCAGGAGAGTCCAGAAAGGTTGGGTCTGTCAAGTTAGGGCCCTTATGCAACAGGCCCTGTGTTTCAAGATGCTGAGTGACTGTGCTGGGGGAGGAAGGCCGGGCAAGCACATGCAAGGCAGCGGGGCAGCCATCAGGGGGAGAAAGCACTACTGTGAGAGTCCTTTAGACCTGGATTTGAGTGCTGCTTCTCTCTCTTTCATTGGCCACTGTGGGTATCTCGATATCTCCCCATTTCTGGGTCTCAGCCTACTTATTCAAAAGTAAGGGCGTTGACCTGTCAGAATGGCCATCATCAATAAATAAAAAATGACAAGTTATAGTGAGGATGTGGTGAAAAGGGAACCCTTGTGCACTGTTGGTGGAAATGCAGACTGGTGCAGCCACTAGCAAAAATGTTTGGAGTTTCCTTAAAAAATTAAAAATGGATCTGCCTTGGGCCTTGACCTGGTGGCTCAGTTGGTTGGAGCATTGTCCCATACACCAGAAAGGTTGTGGGTTCAATCCTCAGCCAGGTGTGTATGGGAAGCAACCGCTCCATGTTTCTCTCTCACATTGATGTTTCTCTCCCTAACCCCCATTCCCTTTCTTCTTCTCTCTCTAAAGAAATCAGTTTAAAAAACCACATACCCTTGGGTGGGGATTTAAAAAATTAAAAATATATAAAGAATAAAAATGGATTTGCCTTATGACCCAGCGATTCAACTTCTGAGTATATAGCTGAAAAAAACCAGAACACTAACTCGAAAGAATATATGTATCCCTATGTTCATAGCAGTGTTATTTACAATAGCCAAGATATGGAAGCAACCCAAGTGCCCTTCAGTAGATGAGTGGATAAAAAATCTGTGGTATATACAATGAAATATTACTTGGCCATAAAAGAGAATGAAGCTGGCCGGAGTGGCTCAGTGGTTGAATGTCGAACTATGAACCAGGAGGTCATGGTTCGATTCCTGGTCAGGGCACATGCCTGAGTTATGGGCTCGATCCCCATGTGGGGCATGCAGGAGACAGCTGATCAATGATTCTCTCTCATCATTGGTGTTTCTATCTCTCTATCCCTCTCCCTTCTTCTCTGAAATCAATAAAATTTTATTTTAAGAAGAATGAAATCTTACCATTTGGGATAGCATGGATGTACCTATGCTCAATGAAATAAGTCAGTCAGAGAAAGATAAATACCATATAATTTCACTTATATGTGGAATCTAAAGAACAAAATAAATGAACAAACAAAATTGAAACAGACTTATAGACACAGAGAGCGAACTGGTGAATGCCAGAAAGGAGCGGGGGACATTGGGTAAAAGAAGTGAAGGGATTAAGAAGTACAAATTAGCAGTTACAAAATAGTCACAGGGAAGTTAAGTAAAGATTAGGGAATGTAGTCAATAATAGTGTGATAACTATGTGTAATGCCAATTGGGGTACTGGAAATATCGAGGGGAACACTTTGTAAAGTATATGATTGTCTAATCGCTAAGCTGTATACCTGAAACCAATACAAAATAAAACCGAAAGAAAAAAAGCTAAGGGTGTTGATCTATATCAGGGGTTCTCAACCCTCCTTGGGCATCACAATTACCTGAGAAGTTTTAAAATAATACTGATGTCAGCCTTTGTGCCCAGAGATTCTGATTCAGTTGGTTTGGAGTGGAATGAAGTCATTACTATTTTTAAAAATCTTCCAATGTGATTCCAGTGTGCAGCCAGGGTAGAGCATCCCAGAGATAGATGGTTTTGCAGGTTTCTACAATCCAGCAGGGCTAGTAGGCACCTGCAGTCTTCGCCCAGGGAAGGAAGTTTTAGGAGGTGAAAGCCAAAGGAACAGTGATGCTAAGCCATCTAATCCAAGTGTGCATTGTCTCAAATGGTGCAGAAAATGTCAGTGCCAGTTCATATTTTGCACCCAACATGATTTAGACCCGGGGCATATATTGTACTCCAAGCCCATTGTAAACACAATGGACCATTTATTCACTGAACAGTAACCACTGTAATTACCTACAGGGCAAACATATGAGGTTGTTCAAGCAACAATTAATTGTGGACCTGGAACTAATGGGACAATAATGGCAAAGTATCAACCGGGGTGTGATTTAGAAATCGCATCAGAAAACCAACATTTTCCAAAATGTATTAGGAAAGCATTTTTGGGGATGTGATGGCACATACACCATCGCAGGCCCTGAAATAGTTGCTCCCTGATTTTTCTAATAGCTCCTTCTTGTGCTGGTAACTGTAGGAGCCTCGAATTGTTTTAATTTTGAGAAAAATCATGAACAGTGGGTTTTAGGGGACTGCAGAGCTTCTTTTTATTGAGCTCACTATGGGACCTAAATACCACCTGCATGCTGGAGTGCTGATCTCGTTTGGGTTTTAAGCTCCTCTTTTGTGAATCCTGATGGGAAGTGGGTGGACCCTCTTTTCAGAAAAAATTTGTGTTCTGTCCCGCACATATCCACCCCCCCCCCAGCTTTTTCATACAGTTTTTGGGGAGCTCATAGACATCTTGAAGCCTCTCTCTGTTCTCTCTAGGTCATGGTCCAGCCTCTGTTTGCATACCTCCAAACACAGGGATCTCACTACTTTAAACAGCAGGCCTTTCATTGCTGAACAACTCTGAATGCTAGTGTTCCTCAATCTGTCCAGCTGGGATTTTCCTCTCTGTAGGCTCTTCCCATTGGTCCTTGTTGTAATTTTTAAACAGCCACTCTATCCTTGACCTTTACCAGTCTTGGGATGGTGTCCCTGTCTCTGAGGATCTTAAAGATTGGTTCTTCTAGGGGCTCTTTAGTTCCAGGTGACAGCAGATGAGCTGTTCGGTGTGTGTTCAGCTTCACACACCAACAGTGTAGGCTGCTGAAGGGACCCAGGAGACCCAGGGATCCTGGGTAGTGGCTGTCTGCCCTCTGAGACAGATCAGGAAAAGGGACAAATCTCCACTGCCCCCACTCTGCCAGAGTCTTGGGGGGCGGGGGCGGGGAGAAGGAGTGCTTCCTCAGGTTACAAGAGCATCTTCAGCTGGTGCCGGAGGGTGCCAGGATGTTATTTCCTTGGGTGCTGAAATTGGACTCTGAGAAGTGTTAGATCTGGAGCTGCTCCTGGGAAGTTTGGGAAGAAAGCTGGTGGTAGCAAAGAGTGAGCTTGCTTCAACCATGCCCTTTTTGGATCAAAGTTTTAAATGAAACAAATGAAGGAAAGAAAGGAAGGGATTGAAGGAGGGAGGGAGGGAGGGAGGGAGGGAGGGGAACAGAAGGAAGAAGGAAGGGGAAAATGACAGATTAGAAGAAACCATGAAGCAATTTTTATAATCTTAGAGTGGGAAATACAACACCAAACCTGATTACATAAAATTTAAAAGTAGATAAATTCAACCATATTTTAAAAAAAAATTCCATATGGTAGAAGGCACTATAAGAAACATCAAAAGAAAAGGTATACAACTGGGAGAGAAAATAGTAACTTATATCACAAAGGGCTAATTTCCTTAATATAAAAGATTATTTCTACCAACTGATCCGTAAAATGAGCCCAGTTGGAAAACAGGCAAAGGATGCAAATTGCTCTCAAACATAGAAAGAGATACTCACCCTCACTAATAATAAGGTAAATGCAAATTAGAACTATAAGATACCATTCTCCCACCATCACACAGCAAAGATCAAAAAGGTTGATAGGCACCTTCTGTGGATTAGGCCGAGGGAAGGGAGAGCAGAGATCAGAGGAAGTGTTATGGAAGAGGTGACATTTAAGATAGGCCTTGTAGGACATCATTAAAATCCAATTTAGCAACTTACTGGCACTTAAAAAGAAGAAATAATAAAAGGGAAGAGGAGCAGATTTGACTACTTAGTATAAATTAAAATACACACGCAAAATGGGAAAGCAAACAAACTGGGATACAGCAACTATAACAGTCTGAGTTGAACGTTATACATATAAAAGTCTTCATTAAACTCAATAAGAAAAGTATTAGAATACCACTCAGAAAATAGAAGACATGAAAAAGCAAATTCCTGAAATAGAACATACTACTGGTTAATGACCACATGGAAGAGATTAATTATGCATAACCAATGATTGCAATATGATTCCAGTTTTTCAGGGATAAATCATTATAAAATTAAAATAATGTTTTAGTTCCTCTGTTGAAAAGAATGTGGTAAAATTGGCTCTCTAATCATACCTGGCTAGTGGGTATGTAAATTGATACAATCCTTTTTGGAAGTAAGGATCGAGTCTTTAAAATTGCATATCCTTTATCCGGGAAATTTTATATCAGAGTTTTATCCTATAGAAATAGACTGAAATTTAGAAAAAAAAAAATGCTGTGCTCAAGGATGCTTGCAGAATGATATGACAATGACAAATTGGAAACAATCTAAATGCCCCCCAATTAGAGATGATTCAATAAATGATGTTTATTTACATATACTAGAATGTTATACAGCTGTAAAAATGTTTACAAAGAGTTTTTAATAGGATGGCTGAGTGCTTGTGTGATAATGCTAAGTGTGTGGAGTGAGGGGGGTGGAGAGAAACAGTTCAATTACGTATGTGGAATGACCTCAGGATTTTTTTAAGAATTAATGTGCATGGAAAAAAGACCAGAAGTCAATAGACTACAATATTAATGGTGGTTCTTTGGTGAGGGGTAAAATATTGGCTCATTTTTCTTCCTTCTTTCTCCTTATTTTGCATTTTTAAAATATTCTCTTTCATTATAATGCATTACTTTTATAATAAAAAGGTTTAAAAATATCTTGCCCTGTGTGTTTGGGCCAAAATCAGAACTAAAGGTCTCTTCTGCTCCAAAAGATCCTGGGCTCAGAGCAGTGAGGCCCACCAGTAAAAGTGTTCCCTCTTTTGTGTTTTTCAGCTTTCCTTTGCCGCGACCACACCCGTCCTGGCTGATAAGAAAAAATACCCTTACTTCTTCCGGACCGTCCCGTCAGACAATGCGGTGAATCCAGCCATCCTGAAGCTGCTAAAGCACTTCCAGTGGAAGCGAGTGGGCACACTAACCCAAGACGTGCAGAGATTCTCCGAGGTAGGCTTTGCTGAGGGGTCAAGCTCTCACCTCCCTGTTGGCCGCTGTCATCTCCAGGCAAGGGCATTATGGCTGAATCAGGGATGGGCAGTATCACAGGGCTTTTAAGCAGACATTTATTAGCAGGACCAAAGTTGTTTTACCTTTGACAAAACAGAGCTGGTGGCTGAGGAATTTGTGCATGGGACAGGTGAAAACCTCCATCCTAGATCGCTCAGGAGTGAACCCTTCCCTTTCATTGTGCCTTTGGCTAAATCCTGTAGTTTATTCCCTCACTGCCCCTATAGGTTTGTTGTCCTTGTTGCTGATGCTGTAGTGACCATCTAAAAATCATGACAGGGTAGAGGGGTTAATGGGAGGTGGCGGGGGGGAGGGAATGGAGGACATCTGTAGTACTTGAAACACAAAAACAAACCAAAAAAAAAAATGCCAAAATATAAAGTAAACAAATAAAATGGTTGCTAATTGCCCTAAATCCCACATTCTCTCCCACTCTCAGTTCAGTGTTCATCTGCCCAGGTTTTTTTCATTATATTTATTTAAACTCAACTGTAGATTTTGCTTTTTTCATTTTATAACAGATCTTAGAAGTCTTGATTGATCTCATTCTTATTAATGGTCCATGGTGTTCTGTCAGATGGATAGATGATAATTTATTGAACCAGGCCCCTATGGATGTGTATAGCTTTTTAACATCACAGCCAACACCTTCCCACCTGGCAGCTTTCTAGAAGTGGAATTACTGAGTCATTTAAAATAGTGAGATAAATTGACTTCCAGAAAGGCTGTTCCAATTTCTAGTCCCACCGATGTGTTTGAAAATTCCCATCTCCCCACATCCTTATTAAGAGTGGATATTATCAAATGTTTTAAAAGGTTTCCCACTCAAATGAGGGCAAAATTGTCTCTTGTCTTTCTTCCCATTCTCCTTATAGTTCCTACTTTCCCGTCTCCTTGATACTTGAAGCCTCCCAACAAAGCAAGACATTCCAGGTGTGCTTAGATGCCCAAGAGAAAAACACTGAGCCCTGTGGGGAAGAAAGGCTGAGCCAGAGGCCCAGGCCAACCTCAGTGGGAGGAGTTGGAAAGGACCCACCCATTCTGGCAAGGAGGGTGGGGGCAGAGAGGGCTGGGAATTACTAGACCTGATTTCCACTCCAGCCTTGCACTTACCTTTCTGCGGCTCTGCCCATCTCTCCCAGGGGAGGGACAGGCCACTGGATGCATTGACCTTGGAGAAGTCACCTCTCTTCTCTCAGCTGCGATTTCCTCCCCTATCCCTTCAGGATTCTTACCAAAATCTGATGAGTCATGGATTTGAAAGAACTTTGTCAACTGTAAAGTTCATGCACAGAGAGGGATGTTTTGGGAGGTGCTTGAAAAGCCTAAGTGTTTGGCCCCACCATCTGTGGTTACCAAACAAGGCATGCTTTTCCCAGGCAAGACTGGCCCTCCTCTTCCCACCTCTCTGCTTCTCAATCCCTAGGGTGAGGCACAAAGAAAACTTGACCTCTCGCGGGAGTGACTCATTGCCAGACACTGAAGAGGCTTTTGCTGAAAGACTGCCCTTTAGTTAGGCAGCCACAAATGTTCTGAAATGAGTATCAGACTGGTTGAGGGGGAGGGTGAGGAAGGCCAGTCTGTGGCCCCATTAACATGGGACTCTGCAGCAATTTGGAGGGACCTGCTTTTTTCCAATAGAGTCTTTGGCTGTCAGAGCCCGAGGGGCCCTTACAGACACTTTCCTAACCCCCTCATTGTATAAAAGGGGAAACTGAGGCCCAGTGAGGGGGTGGGAAAATGTTCAGGGTTTCAAAGCATCTCTGAAGCCAGGAAAGATTGTTCTCAAAAAAAGTCAGGCCTAAATCCTGGTCCAGACTCCCATTCCAGACTCCCATTGCTCCTTCTTTCCATCCGTAACTTCCTGAAGTCACAAGCGAACTGCATGTGACCTGGAAGAGTAGAAAAACCTGAAAGCCTTGACCTAAAGAGATTACATTTTCAGCCCTGGCTTGGTTGAGTGCTTTATGGATTCCCTAACACTCTCACAGCCAACCACCCTTTAGGGAGGAGTTATGGTTCCCAGCTGACAGAGGAGGGAATTGAGGCTTGCAGCGGGGGTTGCCTCTTGCCCCAGGGCACATGCTGGTGAAGAGCCCAGCTGAGGCTGGAAGCTGCGGACCTCCAGACCTCCGGACCTCCGGACCTCCGGAGTACTGGTCAGTGTTTTCTCCATTATGCTGTCCCCGCCCACTGGGGTCAGGTATTGACAGTTTGGTAGCACATCTCCCTCCCTGCACAGCTGTGTGGGGGCCCTCAGCCGAGTTTCAGGGCATCAGAGGGAAACCTCCTTTCTGAGGACAGGATGTTGCTTGGTGGTGTTGCTGGCAAGAACCCCTTTCGATTTAAATCTCTCCGCCCAGCTGACTCCTCTCTGTGCCCAAGGGCTTTGGCATCCCTCTCCTGATGTCTGGGCTGCATCGCTGGAGTGCAGGCCCTGGAAACTCGCCAGGGCCTAACAGCTTTTTGTGAGTGCAAAGGAAACTGGATTCCTTTTATGAAACTGGTCGATCTGCAGCATCAAGCACTTCTGTTCCGGACTGGTGCACTGGAAGGAATGTCAAATGAAAGCAATCCTGAAGTTGGAGGGAGCTGGGGAGAAAACCTCAATAACAAGGAGCTCATTACATTGGGACTGAAACGGGGGAAGAGTTGAGGGCCATCCCACCTTGGGACCAGCTGCTCCTTCGAACCCAGGACAACTGAGATTTAAGGCCAGTGGGTGGTGACCCAGAGGCTACTCAGGCTTTGGGTCAGATGTGTCCGTCTCTAGGCCCAGCTTTGCCAAGCAATGGCTGTGAGACACCAGGCAGTTCACTTCACCTGAATGAGATCCCAGTTTCCCTTCTGTAAAATAGGGAGATTTAGTCCCACCTCACAGGCACTGGGAAATGAGAAAACATAAGACTTATGCATACTTGGTGCTAATAAATGGACATTCTCTTTGCCACTATTCATGAGACAAACTCTAGAAATGCATATCCATTCACTTAAAAAATAATGATGTGGCCTGTGATATGCCAAACCCTGAGCTGTCGAGGGCCAGAGAGGAAAGAACATGGCCTTGGGGTCGGTAGGTATCAGGCCTTCTTCATGGGGTTCTCAACTCTGGCTGCTCATTGGAATCACCAGGGGAATTTATTTTTAACACAAACAAAAATTTAAATTTTATAACTTGGGTTTTTTCCCTTCCCTCTCCCCTTCCTCACACTTTTAACAGCTTTATTGGGATAATTTGTATCGCATACAACTCATTCCATCGTTAGTATACAGTTCAATTATTTTTAGAAAGTTTATAATAGTTGTGCAGCCATCGTCACAGCCCAGTCTTAGGACACTCCTATCACTAAAAGTTCTCTCATGCCCGTTGGTCGTCAGTCCTGCCCCCAGCCCAGGTTTGTTTGCTTGCACTATAGTTTTGCCTTTTCTGAAATTTTCATATAATTATATAACAGGTATTTTTTTGTGCTTGGCTTCTTTTTAGCATAATGTTTTTGAAGACTATCCATGTACATGTATCAGAAGTTTGTTTCTTTATACAGCTAAGTTGTATTCCCCTGTATGGATAGGGTACATTGTTTAATCACCAGGGGAGCTTTACAAATCCTGGTGCCCAGGCCAGCCCTCAGCTCAGTTACATGAAATGACCCCAGCATTAGAACCCTTCTAGGCTTTCCGGGTGATTTCAGTGTGCCCCCAGTGCTGCGTCCTTCACCCCTGGCTCAGGAATGCAGGGTGGAATGATGCCCTCTGGTGATGGGAGCCCTTGCACTCAGAGCAACCCAGTCTGCTCGGCAGTGTGACTGTCTTCAGCAGTCCGGTGGCTGTGGAGGAGGATGGAGAAGGTGGAGAACAGCCTTGCCCCAGCCCTGGGACTCTGCCAGGTGGCAGACAGAGTGGGTGTGGATGGTGAAGATTGAGGGTGCTGCTGAGAGGGTGGTCCAGGGCCCCAAGATGGAGAGGGGTAGGCAGGCAGGTGAACTGTGGGCTTGGAAGAAGTGGAGCCCTGGAAGTCTCTTACAAACTTGGTGATGTGGGGGTAAGGGAGCTGGAAGGAGGGGAGGCTGTGGTCAGAGCTGGGAGAGGATGTAGGGATAGAGGATCCAGGCCCTGGCTGTGCGTGAATAGCTAAAGCAGAGTGATGGTAGAGATCACCAGGGGCAAAGAAGTCAGAGGCCAGAATGCAGAGTGACATGTGGGCACTTCAGGCACAGGATGGAGGCAGGGCTTGGGTGGCGATAAAGGCAGTGAGCACCAGTGTCTGGAAGGACCAGCGGAGAATAACAGGGGTATTTAGGCCTCTCCCCCCAGGTCCAGGTCCTATCATTTATTCTTCTGGCTGCCAGTTTTTGATGCAATTAACCAACTATGTATCCCAGGACAAATCACTCAGTCTCTCTGGGACTCGGTTCCCCCTTCTATAAGTTAAGGGAGATTGGCCAGTTGACTCTAAAATCATTGCTAGCTTAAAGAATTTGTGATGAGGACTTAGAGAGATCTGGTTATTGACCTTGATCTTGCCATTCCCAAGGGAGTAGCCATGAGAATTATTTACCTCTTTATGCCTCCATTTCTTCATCTTGAAAATGGGGATAATGACAGTGCTAGCTAACTCTTAGGGTTGTCATGAGGATTAACTGTGCTCAGAAACCTATTGTGCTAAGAGAAGTGCCTGGCTCATAATGAACACCATGCAAGGTGTAGCTGTTACGTTTTTTATCATCCAGAATCTGGTTTCTTAGCGTATAGCTGACCCCCATTCAGGAGCCCAGCTCTGTGGCTCGGTTTTGTACCTGCCACTAGCATCACTTCCCACCCTCCCCACCCTCCAAGCCGGCTTGGAGACTCCCTGCCAGTCACTGGTCCTCAGTGATCTGGAGCTTTCTGGGGCTGACCTTTCTGTGCCAGAGGCCTCCCCCAAGTGTCGGGACCCACCGAGG